CATAAAAATCATAGAAGAAAGCACAAGCAGTAATTTCACTGACACTGGCCATAGCAACATTTTTCTACATATGTTTTCTGATGCAAGGGAAATAAAAACAAAAATAAACTATTAGGACGACATCAACACAAAAACTTTCTGCACAGTGAAGGAAACAATCAACAAAACTAATAGGCAACATACTGAATGGGAGAAGATATTTGCAAATGATATATCCAATAAGAGTTACTATCCAAAATATATTTAAAAATGTATAAAACTCAATACCCAAAAATATAATCCAATTAAAAAGTAGGCAGAAGACATGAACAGATATTTCTCCAAAGAAGACATACATATAGCCAACAGACCCATGAAAAGATGTTCATCATCACTTATCATCATGGAAATGCAAATCAAAACTATAATGATATATCCCCTCACACCTGTCAGAATGGCTAAAATCAAAAACTTAACAAGTGTTGGTGAGGATATGGAAAAAAAGAAACCGTCATGCACTGTTGGTGGGAATACAAACCTGTGCAGCCACTGTGGAAAACAGTCTGGGTCCCACAAAAAAGTTACATATAGAACTGCACTATGATCCAATAATCACACTACTGGGTATTTGCCCAAAAAAATATACCAAAACACTATAGTTTACTGTACCCCTATGTTTACTGCAACATTATTTACAATAGCCAAATTACGGAAGTAGCCCAAATGTCCATCGATAAAGGGATAAAGAAAATATCACTATATTGTATACATGAAACTAACCCTGACTTTTGTCAATGTACAATGGCAATTTAATGAGGAGAAAAGTCTTTTCAACAAATACTGCAAGTCACTGCCATATGCAAAAAAATGAACTCTGATCAGTCTTTTATATGAAAATTGGCTTAAAATGGGTCATAGATCTGAAAGTAAAATGCAGAACAGATCATAAAAGAAAAAGTCTGGCACCTTGGTTTAGGCAAAGAATCCTTATATATAATACCAAATACATAATCCATTTTTTTACATAATCCATTTTTTAAAAATTGAAATTAGGCTTCATCAAAATCAAAAACTTTTGCTCTGCCAAAAACATTAAGAGAATGAAAGACAAGCTACAAACTGAAAAAATATATTTGGTTACATACCTGACAAGAGACTTATATTCAGAACATGAATAAAGAACTCTCAAAACTCAGCAATAAAAAGTAACTATTTAAAAATGACCAAAATATTTGAATAAACACTAACAGAGGTTTTACAAATGGCAAATAAGCGCATCAAAAGGTGCTTGATACCATTAGTTATGAGGGTATTGTGAATTTAAACCAGAAAAAGATGCCACATCTATCAGAATGACTAAAATTTCTTAAAGTCTTGGCAAAGATACTGAACAACTGGCACTCTCATATATTGTTGGCTGGAATGTAAAATGGTATAGCCACTTTGGAAAATGATTTGGAAGTTTCCTATAAAATTAACTATATGCTTACTATAGGATCCAGCAACTTGACTCCTAAAAGTAAAAACTTACGTTCACAGAAAACATGCCAGTGAACATTAAAAGCATCTTTATTCGAAATCACCAAAAACTGGAAACCACCCAATGTACTTCAGTTAGTGAGTAGATAAACAAATTGTGACACATCCATACAATGGAATATTACTCAGCAAAACAACCCCAAAAAACAAAAAACTATTGACTCATGCAACAAAATAAATGAATCTGAAATGCACTAGCTAAATGAAAAAAAGTCAGATTCAAAAGGCTACATATACTGTTTAATTCCATTTATTAACATGCTAGAAAAGGCAAAACTGTAGGGATGGCAAACAGATCAGTGGTTGTCGGGGTTTAAGAACTGAAAAGAATATGACTACAAAGGGACAACACAAGGAAGGTTTTTTTGGAGAGAATTATATCTTGGTTGCAGTGATAGTTACACAACTCTATACATTTGTCAAAAATCATAAAACTATACACCAAAAAGAGTGAATTTTGCTGTATACTAAATAATTTTCAAAAAATAGGTTATGGCAATTTTTTTAAAAAAGGAAAGGCAATTTGGAAGGAATAGTAATAATAATAATGATTAAAAACAATGTCTCCAGGGCAGCCAGGGTGGCTCAGCAGTTTAGCACGGCCTTCAGCCCAAGGTGTGATCCTGGAGACCCAGGACTGAGTCCCATGTCAGACTCCCTGCATGAAGCCTCCTTCTCCCTCTTCCTGTGTCTTTGCCTCTCTCTCTCTCTCTCTCTCTCTCTCCCTCTCTCTCCCTCTCTCCCCCTCTCTCTGTGTTTCTCATGAATAAATAAAATATTTAAAAAAAAAAAAAAAAAACAATGTCTCCAGAACGAGGTCAGTTCATAAAAAGGGGCACTCGGAGATGGATTTCCAAATCAAGGCAAAAATCTAGTTGCCCAAATTATTGAATAATGTCATAAAGGTAAAAATGCTGAGCTGCCTATGAAGTATGCCTTTGGTCCTGATTTATCTCACAAATCTACGACAATTCTAACCATATTCCACATCACAAATGAAGACAAAGGGAAGGCTCAAAGCTAACAATCAGGCAGGACTTTAGCCTTTACTTATACTAGTACATCTTAATCAGGGGTTCTTAACATGGAATACCTAGATAGAATTCTAGGAATCCACAAAAGTGGATGAAACAAAAATTCATCTTTATTTTCACTAATCTCTAACTGAAATGTGGTATAGTCTTCTTAGTTTATGAATGTATGTAAATAACTATGTAGACTAAACAGGACCTGTAACTCTAAAACTCAGAAATCAGATTTTTCCCATCATATCATATTACCGTAGATTCTCTCCTATCTTATTTTGGTATGCATTAACAAACATTTATAAATAATATATCTGAGGAGTTTTAGTACTTTGATAAATTTATTTCATATAATTAGTTTCCTTTATAATCTTGTGTATTTCATTTCATACATTTAAAATACATTAAATCTCTTAAAATACAGATAAAGCATTATTCTAAAAGAGGGTTCACAGGCTTCCCCAGAATACCAAAGGACCCATGAGAAATATCCCTGCTCTGAATTATCCTGCTCCCATTATACACAGCACCACTTTGTTCAGGTCTCTAACACCTTCATACATGCATGAAGTATCACTCTCTCCATGGATATATAATAGTTTACACCCAAGACAGAGAAATGCACAGTTGTTTTTTTTTTTTTAGCAGTAATCATATTTGTTTGCACTCACTAAATGGTAAAGTCCATATAAAATTAAATCATATACATACAAAGAGAAACCTCAGACTAAATACTACATTGTTAAATGAAACTACACGAGAATGGTTTAAAAAAAAATCAACCTATCTTATGTCTCAAATAAAAAGGAATTAAATGAATCGTCTGAAAAATATTCTTATGTTGCTAAAAAAGCATGGAAAAAAGTAGGAAGTTGAGTTTTGTTTTCTAAATCCTATACTATGCACACATTGCAATACCTTATCCTCTCATTTAAAAAGTGAAAAACAGGGGAACCTAGGTGGTTCATTTAGTTAAGCATCAGACTCTTGATTTCGGCTCAGGTTATGATCTCAGGGTCGTGGGATGGAGCCCCACATGGGGCTCCAAGCTTAGCGGGGAGTCTGCTTGAGATTCTCTCTATCCCGCTCTCTCAGCCCCTCCCCCCGCTCATCTCTAAATAAATAAATCTTTTTTAAAAAGTAAAAAAACAAAGGATCTCAAACTTAAAAAGAACTAGATCACGCGGATTTCTAAAGTAAAATTCTTATGACTACTTGGGTTAAATAATAACAAACTGCCAACCAAGTGGGATACAGTAGTCATTTAAACAATGAAAAAGCCCAAACAGTGGGAGGGAGTGAGAGGATCTAAAGGCCAAGAGCCACAAATTCAATTGTGGATCAAGGAATAACCGAAAAATTTTTTAAAATTCTGTAGTCTGAAGATGACCTGGTCAGAAATGGGGGGGAGGGGGGAAGAAGAAACATTCTTGGAGAAAAAAATAAATACAACAAATATTACAGGAAATATTACAAAATCAATTCTATTATAAAGGTATTATCTCCTTATCAATAAAATATAGTAGTTAAAAAATTTTGAGTAGGAATATACTGCTTATTTTGTAACAGAAATCAAGGAACGAATAGAATTTGCTTTTCCATATTTCCTATCATTATTTGATGACAAAATGAAATGTAGCCACACAAAAATCACTCATTCAGTTTTAACCTAACAGTATTACATTTTTATACAGTTACCATAATTTTTAAGATGTTAACAAAAACGTAATGCACTCCATCTATAACAATTTGCCATATCCCTACCCATATCTTAGAAATGTTTCATTTTAAGCAAATTATGACTCTTCAAATCATTTTTTTCTGACTACAGAATCACTATGTACTCATCTCAGAAAACTTGTAAAATACAAAAGAAAAAATTTCTTAAAAAGAAACCAGAATTCCCTGTAATCTTACCAACTACAAACAAACATAACCATGTTATTTCTTCTATGGGTACCAGCTTACATATTAATAATAATGCTATTAGTCAATGTCTATTAGACACTTTGAGCTATTTAGCTAATAGCTTTACATACACTATTTCATTTTACATTTACAACAATCCTATTCAAGTAGGCAGATGAATATTTCTATTTTACAGATAAGTCAACTAGAGATTAAAGGGGTTAGGAAACATGCCTAGAGTCACAGAGATAAGTGGTAAAGCTATACCACCATTAATGTATATATAAACAGAGAATGCTGTGTATTCTAGTCTATTCTAAGGTAACTCCCTGATCATAAAAATTATAAATAAAATTAAATTTATAATTAAATTTAATGTAACAGCATGTGGACATACCATAATTTAATCACTCCTCTACTGGATCAGATTATTTTTGTATAGTATTCAGCATGGTGTGACTCATTCAATACAAAAAATAAAAAGTAGATAAATGCAAGACTTCCTTGTCTACTTCTACATTTAAATTAAAATATATTAATTCAACTTACTCTTTTACTGAGGCAAATAACTGGCCACATACTGCAACCTAATGTGCAGCAGCAACAAAGGCAGCCACAAAGTAGCCAACGTACATTAACAGGAAGGTTCTTCTTAAGACAACTGTTAACTCTGTTGATGCTGGCTTTAAATTCTTCAGGAGCTACCTAAAGAAAAATTTTAAGAAATAACAATACTGCAATATTAATGTCAATAAACATGTCTCATTAGCATAATTGTTTCTCTAATTTGTTAGGAAAAGACTTTACTTTTGAGGTATATAAAGAGTACCTAAGTAAATGACACTCACTTTTCCAGTTAATGAAGAAGGGAATTCTGATTCAAATTTGTTGCTCAGTCCAAATCTATTTAAAAAAAAAAAAAAGTTATTACCTGTCATTGTTGGGGGAAAGAAAAGGCCATTTAACTTAATCAAAGGTCAAGTAAATAGATGCAACTTGATATACAAAGTAACAATGGAAGTTTGAGACACGAAAACATTGTAATCAGCAATTTATGAAATGTAACAAGCAATTTTAGCAACTGAATCAGAACTTTCCTCAAAGAAGCTAAGAATACAAAGCTAAGCAAGCACAGTATTAATGTAATGAAAAAACAACACAATTATCCAATTTTCTCAAAATTACTGAGATTCTTTCCAATTAAGTACTAGAAAGCTACAATCTCTGCTATTGATTATTCTTTAGGTCAAGAGCACTTGTTAACACTCAAAACAGCAGTAAGATGTCTAAGAATGCAAATTGATCAGTTAGTATTTTCTAAGAACGGCATATCCACACTGTTGTTACAGCCAGAAAATGCTTTAATAAAAAAAAAAATACCTAGAACAATGTGATAGCTGCCTGGCTACTTAAATTCAGAAGTACTAGACACTTACTATACATACCAGAAATGGAACTGAGGTAGTGAATTTTAATATCTTTAAACTTTTAAATGTCTGCAAAAGTCACAAGGATTGATTAGGCACTTAACTATTCCTTTGTACAGGTTACTAGGTAAGGATAAGATACTCATGGACATATTTGTAATGGCAGATTGCACCCGGAAATAAAAACTGAGATACCTAAATATGATGACTTTTGTTAGATCCTGAAGCCAATTTTTTCAATTTTATTGAGATATACTTGACATAACACTATTCATTTAAGGTATACAAGATAATGATTTGACATATGTATATATTATGAAATGATTACCACAATAAGTTTGGTTACCATCCATCTCCTTATATAATTACAAATTTTTTTCTTCCTATGATGAGAACCCTTAAGATTCACTGTCTTAACAGCCCTTATAAATACACAGTCCTGAAACAAGGAAGAAGAGTAAAATGCTCACTGATAGCTCTCTCAGTGAGGTCCCTAGATAATGTACCTCCTTTTCATCTATTTTTCTTAGATGGGACATTCAACATTTGTTGAGGACATTCAACAAATGTTACTGAGTATAAATTATACATTTCCATCTCTTGAAGTATAATCTCCCTTGGTCTGAAGGTTTTCTCTTTCTATCAAGAGTTTCCATTTCAATTATGTCTATTATTGCAATTAACCATCTACTTCCAAGTGGTCTTTGAAAAATTTTAGAAAAGCAACACCCAGAAACCTCCAAGTCTTCGCTTTTTTTGTTTTTTTTTTTTTGAGAGTGCACACCTGCAAAGTGGGGGAGGGGCAGAGAGAGAATCTTAACCCAGCACAGAGTCCAACGTGGGGCTCGATCTCATGACCATGAGGTTATGACCTGGCCAAAACCAAGAGTCAGACACTGAACCAACTAAGCCACCCAGGAGGCCCTCTCCACCTTTCCTAAATAGAAAAGTCTCCCTCTTTCATCCCAGCCATTAAGACATTTAACACAGATTAAATGGAAGGAGCAGTCCAGGATGAGTTTAAACCCTAATTTCCTTTTTTTCTAGAGCCTGAATATTTCCTTATTGGCTACACTGACTGCTGGCCATGTGAGTGTTGATTCTTTACCCAGGGAACATAACAAGCTAATTAATTGCTCTGTTGTTCCTGCAGGTCAGGGCTCCTTTTAAGTCAGGCTAGTTATTCTTCTGATAAGAACTTGTAGTTCCAAGGACATTGACTTAGTTCCTCTTCAGTCATACTTTTTGTTAAGTTGTATCTGAGGAACAGATAGTAAACCTTCCTCTTCCTTCATCTCACCCCTAAAAAAAAATCCCAAGAAAGATTACCCCGTGACAAGATTATCACTATATAGAATGCTTAGCTTTTCTACCAGTCATTAACTTGGTGCTAATGAATATCCCATTCCCCTTTGCTTGCATTTCCCACCCACTGAAGAAGAATACCTGAAATAAATGTAAAGAAAATGCTGCACTTGAAGCCCTTGAAGTCCACAAGAGTGAACCCCAACCACGCTTTGCTTTCTCTTTTAAAATCTCCAACCAAGACATATAATATCCAAATAAGTACTTATGATTACTAGTAGAATGAGCCATGATAATCAGGCACCCCTTCTCCATCTGCATTTGGAATATAGTTCTCTGTTACAGGGGTATTCAAAGGTTTGGCATCAGGACCTTCCCTCTCTTAAATCTTTGAGGACCTCAATAACTTAAGTTTATGTGCTTTATATTTACCAATAGTTTGGATTAGACATTAGAACTAAGACATCTAAAACATTTTTACAACTTATTCATAGGGGCCCCTAGGTGATGCAGTCAGTTAAGCAACCAATTCTTGGTTTCAGTTCTGCTAGTGATCTCAGGGTCATGAGACTGACCCCTCCCACCCCCACCCCAGTCAGGATCCACGCTCAGGGCAGTTGGCTTGAGATTCTCTTCTCCCTCTGCCCCCTTTCTCCCCTTCCAGCTCTCTCTATTCCTCACAAGTAAATAAATAATTCTTAAAAAAAAAAAAACCTTATTCATAAATGATCCCAGTATATGCTAACAAATATAACATTTTCATGAGAAATGACTTTTTCAAACCAAAAAATTTTGGAGAGAAAAGTACTATTTTACATTTTCACACCTCCTTAACGTTTGACAATGGAAGACAGTTGGATTCTCACATTTCTTTGTGTATTCAATCTGCTGTGATACGCTCTTTGGTTGATGTTTATAAAGAAAATTAGGCCTCACCAGATATGTAGTTGGAAATTTGTGTATACCATTCTTTGATAATATACCAAAACTCAACACATAGTAGTGTCTTGTTTTTTTTTTGTTGTTGTTGTTGTTGTTTTTTTTTTTTTTTGGCAAGGAGATAACTGAAACTACATCAATGACCTTTTAAACTTTAGCTATGTTAAACTAAATTCCATTGGTATATATTACATTTTGAATGGTTTTACCAATACCTGATTTTGTAACTTCATACATTTGTCCCTTGAAAATATTAGTAAACTGAGTAAATTGAGTTATTCAAATCTTCAAAATGTTGGCACACTTCATTATAATATTAGAATCATCACATTCATTAATATGACCACTGAGCTCACTAGAAAATATGGGGAACTACCAAGTTCCAGTGACAGATACAAGTTTTCCAAAATTCTAATTTTCATCTGAAAGCTAGAATTTCATTACCGACAACAAATGCTAAGAGTTGTTTTCCTTGAAGTGACAGTCTTGATTTTTAAAAAGTAAGAGGCTGAAAGTTAACGGACCAATACTACATAAACAAGAGAAAAAATGATTCAATTAAAAATATTAGAGCTACCACCTATACCTTAAAAACTAAGTTCAAAGCATATTACTTTAATAGATTTTTTTTTCCTAGCTTTGAATGTTACTGGTGGAGATGAGCAATGGTTGTTATTTTTAGTGGGTCTCCGGGCTACACACAGGCAATAAAAAGCAAAAGGAAAAAAAAAATGTAGGGAAAAGTGGGGAAAGAGAAGTAGAAGAGGGAAAGGCAAAATAAAGAAGTAAACATTGACAAAGTGCTACCAACAGCTGTCTCATTTACCATTCAATATCTACTGTCAGTCCATAAGATGGTATAAAAGAAAATGTAAACATGTAGACATGTGCTATATCTGCATTTCCCATTACCTAAAAGATCTCTTTCTCAATTATGGTTAAAACACTCATGGCTTCAGAATTGATAAAAGATTTAAACTTTTTTTCAAAGAATGGTAAATATTACAAGATAAAGTACATTAAACTTAACCTAGTTTATTCTTATCCATAACAAGTTTACAAGTCTTGAAAAGAGAATTCATTCAAATCACAACCACTGAGCATCTTCTCTGTAATACTTCATAACAAGATCCTAGAATAGACGACTTATACAGCTTTTAAACCAAAGATAGCATGTACAAAGCCAATTTTACTTTTATGTAATTTGAGGTAATTCTGAAAGTTCATGTAATATTATCTAGTAAAGCTTTGGAGAGAAACAGCAACTTTACACCTAACTCTAAAGGAATCTTCAAATAGGCTTGTTTTACTCTTATCTCACCTTCTTCCATTTCACTGTCACCTCATTCTATAGCTATAACTCAAAGCGTAAGCCAATCTGTTACCTTGCACTCTCTTCTTCATCCAATTCAGAATCTCCTTTTTCTGGGGCACCTGAGTAGCTCAGTCAGTTAACCGTCTGACTCTTGATTTCAGCTCAGGTCATGATCTCAGATTCCTGAGATCAAGTCTAGCGTCAAGCTCCACACACACTGCAGAGTCTGCCTCAGATTCTTTCTCCCTCCCCATCTGCCCCTCCCCACTCATTCTCTCCTAAATAAATAAAATCTTAAAAAAAAAAAAAAAACTCCCTTTCCTGATAGATCACCTCCCTTCTAAATTCCTTTTAAGATTTAACTTTGGTACCCCTAATCTGTATATCTACGCTGCATAACTCCTTATCTCTTCTTTAAAAAAAATTTTTTTTCTTCTCCAATATGACCAAACATCCTCTTAGAATGACACTCTTTCCTAAAAATTCTCAATCATAGCTCATGCTCTGGAAGCCCACCTTCCAGACTCCATCTTCCATGTTCCCATGATACTTGACTACATTCTCTCTTGTGCAGTCCTTATCATACTTTATAATTATGTTTACAAGCCTAATTCCCTACTCTGAGTTGTTTGTGGGTAGTATCTAAATTATCTTTATATCCCAATGGTCTGGCCCAATGCCTGATAAATACTCAATAAACATTTGCTGAATGATCAATTTCCAAAACAGAAAATATGTCTACATTCCACTAACTCTTCATTGCAAATTTCCACACCACTGTTCTGTCTTCTTCTGATGCCCATAATTTCTGTTTCTATCAGATTGCTCCAAATCTCAATTATCATTTTCAGCCTTCCAGGTCACACTCTCTCTGTGCTAGAGCTCCACAAAACTACCCTCACGTTTGATGATTTACT